GAGAGAGAGAGAGAGAGAGAGAGAGAGAGAGAGAGAGAGAGAGAGAGAGCGCTGTGGTATTGATGGTGCTTCCTCGGGCCGTCCTGAGACCGCCAGAGAGAGAGAGGCATAGCGAGGTTTCGGCAAGGTCAAAAGCACGTTCATGCCACCAATCCGGCACCAGCATCACCAACACCATTACCACCACCATGGCCAACAATATCAACGACGGTGGCGATGACGACGACAATATCACCACCACCAACACCACCGCCATCAACAACAGCAAGAACAACAAGCAAGAGGAAGAACCACATGAACCAGAATATGAACACGAACATGAACAAGATCAAGAAAAACAAAACAAGAACAAGAACAAAACAAAATCAAAATCAAGAACAAGAACAAGAACAAGCACAAGAACAAAAACAAGAACAAGAACGCAAAAACAACACAAGAACAACAACAACGAACCTTCCTGTCTCCTGGTGGGCCACGGCAGCGCGGGGGCTGGAAAAGTAGGCGTGGGGCTCGCCTTCTTCCCAAGACCACATGGTTGCCCCCAGCAGACGGCTGTCCATCCTGTACACGCTTGTTTCATTCACGCCGTATGGGATCATGTGGTGTCGATCGGGAGAAACGAAGCGGAACAGCGTGATTTAGGCGAGAAAGAACGTCGATTGAACAACAAGATTGATGATTGATCGGGGCGAGGAGAGAAACGTGAGGCATCAACTCGTCATATTGTCTAACCCCTGGGAACCTGACGAATACCCGGGAAAAACTCAAGGAAGCATGACCGTTATCCCACAGAACGATTCGCTCATGGCACTGTTTCAACCACATCGGGGGAATGCTTTTTTCTTGCCGAATGCCCGAAGAGCGACCACATGGTCTTTTTCGCTCGCGACATCAAACATCTACGCTAACTGATCCAAACAGAAAAAGAGAGAAAAGACAGGAAAAAAATGTGGTTGCAGTCGTCTTCTCTGTAGATGCCCGAATGATCAAGCCGCGTCCAGCCTTCTTCACCAAAGAAAGTGTCGTAGGCACAGCTTGTAGCTGGCCCTTATCGCTCTGCCGGTCCAAAGCTAACTTTGCATTTCATTCCAAGCAAAATTCGAAATACTCGCACCGCCCACCACTCCTCCACTCGTACAAGCTGAGCTGCGAGACCCGAGCATCTACCTGTCGAAGGTGGGGATTAGCCCGCATTCTAAAGCGCCCATCGCGTCCGATGCTCCGAAAAACTCATCGGCTTCAGGCAAGAGAGCGTAGAGCGTAACGTCGGTGTACTCGATGACCCAGGTCGAGGCTTCACCCTGACGTTAATGGTAGGTGTGGGTGCGTTCATCGGGGGTGAAAAAAAACATCGAGAAATGTCCTTGAGTATTCTTTGCCCAGTACTTGCCGGCCCGAACAGCAGTAATGCCTAGACTACATGTTATGTCCAGATGGGGATCTCAAGGGTGGGGCGGCGACGCGAAATAGTGTTTTTGACGTTGGTCAGTAGATTCTGCCAATTGAAGGACTATCGATCATACTACCATCAAAAGCAACTGGTGGTTGGTGGGCAAACTGGTCATGTCGGGAACAGCCTGTTTGCGGCCTACGCCACTTGTTGATCGGGTGAGACTGCTCTGGTCATGTACATGTATTAACTTCACGAGAGGTAGACGACCGTCCTTCATACGAACGAAATAGGGAGTGCTCAAAGAGCAGCTCCCACAGCAAGGAGGGGCCCCGTGAATCATCGCGGTGCCCCCTACCAAACGGCAATCTCACCAGTCTGCGTGACACCAAATCATCCAGCACATGTATCCAACACCAATGTTCGCAGACCCACGAACACCCTCCCTGGTTCTTCACGCAAGTGACTAACCATCAATGGGGCAAGAACGCCCCTGGATACATCAGAAAATACCAACATGGTAATATATGGAGGGGAATCCCGGCGTCCGGGGCAAAAACCCTCGAAAAAAACTCCACCACCATAAAAACCGTCGCTATCACAGTGGACCACAACGGCCACACTTATTAGAAAGGCCAAGCCGAAGACAAAAACGCGAGGAACTGCGTTCCCCCGGACGATGGTCTCCCAACGCCCCCTACTCCTGCCATTGGTACACAGACCGCGACAGCTATGCGCCTTTCCCCGCATGGAAAACATGGTCTCTTCCAAGTGCTAGAAACTGCTTCAGCTACTCCGGCAAATTCATCAACTTGCGCCGGTGGTACTGCAGACTGCCCCTGCTAAGGGCCTTGGTTAGGAGGTCCGCGTGTTGCTCCGTTGTCGGAACGACCTTGACCGAAAATCCCCCGACCTAAACAATCCGCGGATGAAATGAAATCTCGCGTCTATGTGTTTCGTGCGACCTGGGCTGAGGGGGTTCTGCACCAACGCTATGGCCCCGTGGTTGTCCTCAAGGACCTGGATGCTGCTACCACTGGTCTCTGGGGCAACAAACGAAAGCA